TGTGAGCTTGTCCCCACTCTTCAGCTACAAAGACATCATTAACACTCAGATATGCTACCACCTGGACCCCCTTGGCCTTCAGAGCTTCAGCCTGCTGCATAAACCCTGGCAGGTGGATCTTGGAACATCTGGGGGCAGTGGGGAGGGGGTGAAAAGGCCCTAGGGACTCCAAATAGCACTCTCTTCTTGCCCTTGAACAACTGTGTTAGGTTCACCTTGTTCCCAGGTTCCCCTTCAAAAACCATCATGGAAAGGATGGCGACCCACTCTGAATGGGGCCATGGCTAAGGTGGCACTTCTGAAACTGTAGGCCTTGCCAAGTGTCCACTCCCCAATGGTTGCTGGCATCCTCTTGCTCTTGCTGTCACTGATGCTACAGATTCAATGGCAGCAGCCCAGGCACCCAAATGAAAACTGAACCTGCTCCGTTGTCCAGAAGGCACAGCCCAGCCAGTGGCATGCCCATCCCAGAAGCTACAACTGCTATATTAATTACATGAATAGAAACTATATGGCAAATAAATGGAGGTTACTTTGTTCAAAGGTCATATGACTCAATATCATCAACATGTAAATTCTTCCCATATTGACCCATATTCTGTGCAACCCCAATAAAGATCCCAGTTTTTTTCTTTTAAAGATTTTATTTTTTAAAGTAATCTCTACACCCAACATGGGGATCCAATTCACAACCCCAAGATCAAGAGCCCTGTGTTCCATCAACTGAGCCAGTCAGGCGGCCCAAAAATCCCAGCTTTTTAATAGAAAATGACAAACTGGTTTTAAAATTCATACAGAAACACAAGAGCCCCCACCCCCCGCCCAGAGAAACACAAGAGCCCAAAAAACTTGAAAAAGAACAAAAATCGAGGCCAAACTCTGATTTCAAGGCTATTATAAAGCTACAGTGATGCAGATAAAATAGCGTTATTGTAAAGTAGGCACATAGATCTGGCAACAGAAAAGTCTTAGACCCGCACAAACAAAATCAACTGATTTTTGACATAAGTGCAAAGGCTCTTCAGTAGAATAAGTATAGCTCTTTCAACAAATGGTGCTAGATATCTATATGCAAAATGTTACCTAGTATCCATACCTCGCATCATATACAAAAATTAACTCAAAAGGGCCATAGACCTAAGCTATAAAACCTTCATCCTAAATCTTCTAGAAGACAACACAGCAGAAAATCGTTGCAACCTTGTATTTGCCAGTTCTTAGACCAAAAGCACGACCCATACAGGCCATGTGAGTCCTCGCATAGCCCCCCTCTTCTCACTCCACCTGGGGCGGGAGGCTCGGCCTAGCCCCGCCCTGGAACTCATCGGGCCCCGCCTCGGCCCTCCTGGCCCCTCCCAGCCCGCCCAGCTCCACTGTCTCGCGTCCCGCGGCACCAGGCGGGGTGCGCGCCCTCCCGCTTCTCCACCCGGAAGAGCCTCCTGAACGGCGAAGTCGAGGCGGCGCGCGGCTCGGCGTCCGTCTGGTGCGCGGGCCCGCCAAGCAGCCGGCGCGGCGCCTACTTCACCCAGGCGCCAGGAGGACCCGTCGGAGCCTGCGCGCCCCCGCGGCCGGCGACGCCTCGAGCGGCCGGCGCACGCGCCCCGCCCCGCCCCCAGCGGCCTCTTCGCGCCCCCCGCCGCCAGGCCCGAGCTCTCCGCGACCCTCAGCCTTGGGAGCAGCGCGTCCCCGGTGACTTCTAACACTGCATGTCCGCCAGTAAGTGACAACTGCTGCCTCGTTTCACCGTTACTATTTTTTTTTTCTCCCGCAGTTCGTCCCAAGTCTCTCCCACATCTGGTTAGTTCCCAAACTATTCAACTCCGGGATTTGTCGGGCGACCGAGGTGCCCGGTTGCCGAGCCAGGCAGTGTCAGAGACCTGCCGAGGTGTTGTAGGGCAAGGGCTGCGTCCAGAGACGGAAGTATGGAAAGCAGTCCTCTGAGTACGACCCGGCTCCGTGGTCGCCCAGCGCACACGGGGAGCGGGGCAGGCGGGCGGGGAGGAGGCGCCCACAAGACGCGGGCCGCGGGCGAGAGGGGCGGGTTTTAGGACGCGGCGCAGCGGGGACCGACGAGGGGGCGTGGCTCCGGGTGAGTGCGGCGGCTTCTCGGCGGGCGGGGATTCTCGGTGGTCTGGCTGCAAGCCGCCGCTGATTCGCCCTGCTGGCACTTGCCTGCGCTTCACTTGGTCCAGAGGATGAAGTAGCACGTGGTTGTATTTTGCCCCGAGCTACTCAATAGGTGAAAGGAAAGGGAACTTGAAAATTGTAGAACAGTAAGAGTGGGCGTGTTTATAGGGTTAGCAAACTGCTTAGAAACAGTTGAACAGTTTTGCGCAGGTTTTGAAAGGGAATGCTGTTTTCAGAAAACATGCTATTTCAAAAAAAAGACTAGGCGAAATTTAATCTGACTTTAATTTGAACCATGCATTCTGCAGCTACCCCCTCTCTGCCCTATGTGGAGCTGTCTTTTAAATTGCTAAACTGTGACTCCAAATTTAGTATGTATTTATAGAATCTTAAAGATTGTCTTGTAGCAACTCTTGGGAGTACAGTTTCTCTGTTTTTTTTTGTTTTGTTAAAATTTTTTTAATGTTTATTTTTGAGAGAGAGAGACAGAGCATGAACAGGGGAGGGTCAGAGAGAGAGAGAGACACAGAATCTGAAACAGGCTCCGGGCTCCGAGCTGTCAGCACAGAGCCCGATGCGTGGCTTGAACCCACAGACCGTGAGATCATGACCTGGGCCGAAGTCGGACGCTCAACCAACTGAGCCATCCAGGTGCCCCTCTCTGTTTCAAGCAAAGGCCACGTCCTGGAAATACTGTATGATGAGTTACTTTTCAAGTGCTTTTTTCTGCTTTATACTTGGCTGAATTTAATATTACCTAATAAAAACAAGTTATTTATTGATGTATTGGCCATAATTTCCTCTCACTCATTCTCCTGGGTATACACATGCCTATCTGTCAGTCTCAGACAGGCATTTGTAGTTGTTAGAATTCTTGGCCTGTGACATATACCCCCCCCCCATCTTAACTCCTTTCACACCTTCTAGAATAGTAGGTTCCCAGAAAAAGCAAAATAATGCTAATAAATAGCATTGTAACACATAGTTAGGATGCTAAAATGTGAACTTCATAAGTTGTCTTTTATCATCTTTTTGTTTGTTGAACCGAGTACAATAAATGTTGGTTAAATAAGTCAAAGTACATTTGTCCTCCAGTACTGTTTCCAAACCAAATAAGATTTTCTTAGATGATCAATTTCAACAGTTTATCTTAACTGCCCATTGCCACATCTGGGATTGTCACCCCGTTGAAATTTAATACTTCTCTTCTTTGTGCTCCTATTGATATTGTATTTTTACCACTATCAGAGCACTGTTTCATTTGATCTGTCCCTTGGTTCCCTGAGGGCATTGAGGATCTTTTATTGTGCTTTTTATTTCCCAGCATGGTACTGTGAACATGATAGATATCTGCCTGTATACATGAACTTGGAATGGGGGTAGGCCCTTTTAATCTGTAGATACGAATTTTCAAAAAAATACATTGCCAGGGGAATGTGATAGGTGAAGTAATGTAATATAGTGTATTTATTTTCAGTCCTGTTATTCATCATTTAAAGATCAATTTTCCTTTCCTCAGTTTAATTATGTACTTTCTTTATACTCTTGATAGCTGTTTTTGCTGAGGCCAGTACGTTTCCTAGGTTAGAGAAAATAGGAAACAAATTAACCTCAAAATGTAAATTTCTTTTTTTCTTTTTAAATTTTTTAACGTTTATTTATTTTTGAGACAGAGCATGAACAGGGGAGGGGCAGAGAGAGAGGGGACACAGAATCTGAAACAGGCCCCAGGCTCTGAGCTGTCAGCACAGAGCCCAACACGGGGCTCGAACTCACGGACTGTGTGATCATGCCCTGAGCCGAAGTTGGACGCTTAACCGACTGAGCCACCCAGGTGCCCCCAAAATGTAAATTTCTAAAGCGAATTTGTTAACTATTCAAGTCAGAACTAGCAATCCACGGGGGCACCTGGGTGGCTCAGTTGGTTAAGTGTCTGACTTCAGCTCAGGTCCGATCTCGCACTTTGTGAGTTGGAGCCTCGAATTGGGCTCTGTGCTGACTGCTCAGAGCCTGGAGCCTGCTTTGGATTGTGTCTTCCCCACCCGTCCCTCATTCTTTCTCTCTCAAAAATAAATAAACATTAGAAAAATTTTAAAAACACTGGTTATCCATGTATGTTCCATTTATGTAGCTGAATACACATGAATATGATGTGTGTGTGTTATAAGAGAGAAGGATACATTATTTATATGAATAAACCTAGAACCAGGGCACATGCAAAAAACTCTACCAGAAGTAACATTAGCCAGAAGACTGCTATTTAAGATATACTTGAGAGCAAATGTATATACAAATTGTGGTTAAAGAAAAAGGAAGGCCTTTTACCATAGAGTTAATAAGAGATAGTTTGGGGAAAAGATACAGGAAAGGCATTGGACCATTTTGGATTTCAGTAATCAGTACCAACATAATTCTTTGGTTAGGTTTAGCTTCACTTTCTCAAAAAATACATTTACTAAGTGACTATAACAAGTAATTCCAATCTAATTAAGATTTTAATTTTTTTTTTAATTTTTGTTTTTAACCTTTATTTATTTTTGAGACAGAGACAGAGCATGAATGGGGGAGGGTCAGAGAGAGGGAGACACAGAATCTGAAACAGGCTCCAGGCTCTGAGCTGTCAGCACAGAGCCTGACGCAGGGCTTGAACTCACGGACTGCGAGATCACGACCTGAGCCGAAGTCGGACGCTCAACCGACTGAGCCACCCAGGCTCCCCTTAAGATTTTAATTTGAATAATATTTTGAGTTTATAGTGTGACCCAAAGTCAGGATGATTTACAACCAATCGTTTTTGTTTAACTTGTGTTTAAGTCTGCAATACCAAAGGTATAATACGGTCCTTTCTTTTTCTTTAGTCACCTAGATTCAAGATGAATAGTGATCAAGTTACACTGGTTGGTCAAGTGTTTGAATCCTATGTTTCGGAATACCATAAGAATGATATTCTTCTAATCTTGAAGGAAAGAGATGAAGATGCTCATTACCCAGTTGTGGTTAATGCCATGACCCTTTTTGAGACCAACATGGAAATTGGGGAGTATTTCAACACATTCCCCAATGAAGTACTAACAATTTTTGATAGTGCTCTGCGAAGATCAGCCTTGACAATTCTCCAGTCCCTTTCTCAGCCTGAGGGTGCCTCTATGAAGCAGAATCTTCATGCCAGGATATCAGGTGAATCACTTAAGGATTTTACTGCCATGTTATTCTCTAGGAACATTTTGAGAAATCCCAACACCTACTGAATTCAGAGCACTAAGAATTGAATGATATAAGAACATCAGTTGATCTTTATACTTAAAAATATATCTATTGTGTAGTTGATGGTCAGTTTCAGAGCAGAATATTGATTTTATACTGTATATTAGAAGGCTGGGGTACTAGCCATTCCAATCAAGGGGAAAGAGAATGTGTGGAGACAACAGTATGGTAGTGTGCACATATATACATGTGGATATGTGTGTATAAAATTATAATTCAGAGCAGCCTTACGAGCTTATGTGACTAACAAAAGAACTGATAATAAAAAGAATTAGAAAAGTAGCAGATTCTATCTAGTGATCTTCAAAACTATTTTAGGAAATTTATTATTTTTATATATCAAGTTTAGCACTATACTGGCCACCCATTAGGCACTCAACTTTTGTTGAATGAATGACAGATTAAGTATCTTAATTTTTAAGAATCAGCCCCTGGTGGCAAAGCTGTATCTTTGAATCACTGTAGTCTGTGATTAAGCTGGAGAACACACATACCATTTGTTTAAAAATAAGTACTTTATAGTATATTTCAGAAAGGTGGGGATTTATAATCAACAAAAATGCTTGCTGTGATTGGAAAGAGATGAGTCAGTATGGTAGAAATCTTTGGAGAAAATAAGACTTACCCCAAGGAGCATGCATTTGATTTAATTGAAAAAAATAGTATTTTATGTAGAATAAAATTATGAATATTATACATCTTTATGCATCAGCACACTAGACAATCTCTTGGTAGGTTCAAGAACAAATGTTTCCTTATAATAATGTTGCGAAAAGATTGTTAGAAGAGGCTTTAATGTTACTGAAATATATTTAAGAATGGTTTTAGGCTGTCCTTACATTCAGATGTTTTTCCATGCTCAGTTTAAATACCAAAATTTTGTCTGCCTAGGTGGGTGACCCTATTGGTTTCTGATAAATTAGCCTGTTGTTGTTTTCTTTTTTTTTTTTCTAGTTCTCTGAAAAAGTAAATTGCAAATTATGTTACTACCATGGTAGCATTCCTTCTACAAACGTATCATGTGTAGGCATTTGCTAGTCTCTTGGGAAACCATACTACTATGGTATAGCCCCTCATCTAAAGGAGTTCAAGGCTGTAGAGGAGGTAGCTGTATAGTCAAATATTCACCAAATGGTGTCTGTATGCTCAAAGATACATGCCTAAGTACATATTAAACATAATTGTAAAGGAGTTTAATGGCAGCTATTATGTGATGCATGCCTCATTTAAGGTGTGTGCAAGATATATTAGTCCATAGAACAGGGAGCGAATTCTCAGAGATTCACTGGAGATTTCAAGAGGAGAAGGTAAGGCAGGGATAGAGGTGTCCCAAGCAGAATGAACCAGGGATGGAAATAGAGTGGTTTTAAGTATATTGCAGCTTCATCTTGGATTCCAGGCAAGGCATTTGATTATGAAAACATAGGTTGCCTCTGTGGTTCAGACTCCTTAGGAACCTAAGACATTTTCCAGTTTGTTTTTCCAGGATATGCATTGCTCTTTATCTTCTGGAATTTTTATTAGCCTACAGTTTACTTGCTATTTCCAGTGGTTTTGATGAAAGGTCTTGTAATACAAAGATAGCATCAAAGTAAATGAGAAGGAAAAAATACCATTCATGTGTTATTTAAAGTAGTGGTTCCCAAACATTTATGGCAATCTGAATCAACTGTAGGGCTTGTTAAAGCACTGATTGCTAGGCCCCACCCACAGAGTTTCTAATTGAGGAGGTCTGGCCTGGGGCCCAAGAATTTACATTTCTAACGGATCCCAGGTGATGCTGATGCTACTGTTTGGGGAACTGCAAGCTGAAAACCGGGGACCTGAAGTAATTGATATGGACTTCTCTCTTGCACAGAGAGGGACCTATCGCCGTCTATTTCCAAAATTTCTTTTTGTTCTTTCTCACTGAATTCGTCAGAGAATGGTAAAGGTTTTTGTGTTACTTAGTAACACATACAGATACATATGTTATACCTAACATGTATAGTTACTTGGTAACATATATAGTAAGACAGGAAGATGAAAATAAATTGTCATTTCTGCCCAAACACCATCTCTTAGCACCTTTTTAGCACTAAGATTTTGCTTGTGTATGGTCAGTTTGGCTTAACATCATATCGCCTTTATAAGTTTATTTAAAAATTATAATTGTATAATTGTAATGAAAAGAATCTGAAGATGAAATATACTCACCTTTATTATCTTCTTCTTAAAATAATAGTTACTTTACTATACAAAATAACCACTTAATCTGCCATATTTTGAACAAATTTGCTCAGAATTTCTAAAAAAAAGCAAACAGGCACCATATACATGATTCAGTAAATGTAAACTGCTCTTTTGTTTCCAATGTAAGAACATTAAAGATTACGTATTGCCCGGTATTGTAAAAGTATAGAAGATAATTGAAAGCTAATTTTCTTAGAAAATTTAGTTGTAATCTTTACATAGTTTTTTCTTCAGAGATGTTGTAATTGTGTTAGACATAGCTGTAGGAAATTCACTCATCCTGGCTACACTTGTAGAGGAATACAGAAAAGGTTGGGTTGGCATATGCGGGATGCTTAGAAGTGAGCCCTGCTTCCCTCCAATATTCCCTGTGTAGTATCTCTCCAGTACATCTCCTTATGCTGACTATAATAAAACCAGTTTGTGTAGACTTATCATGAGGCCTGGGTTATCATTTACAAGGAATGGAAGGTGTCTCTGGATTCTTCCTTTTTACTCTTCCTGACGGAAGATTTCTCTAGACATGAAAGGCATTGTTTATATAATGGTGCATTCATTTGACCATTTTGCTTACATATTCCATTTGTGTGAGTGTGCATGTGTTAGCCTGGACTTAGGGAAATTTTCTTGTGGAAGGGAAAACGTGAATGCAGTCTTCATGGCTGAGTGAACTGGGGAGAGTTTGCCAGACCAAGTAAAGTGCCTAAGGAAAGGTACAGAGGTAAGAAGCCCTTGTATGCACCACAAAATTCAAGCATTTTGTTCTGGACTGGGAGATTTGAGGCCATATATGGTAAAGGTGAGGCAAGAGAGAGAGAGGGAAAGCCCATTTCCCCTTCTCTTCTATTCACTAATTTTCTCCTTATTGAAAAGTGCTTATTTAAAGCACTGGGTTGGGCACAGGGGTGTGAAAAGGATCTCAAGAAGTGACTGTCCCCTCCATATATAGAATGGTTAAGAAACAACGCAGAACAATAGGAGATTAAGACCCTAAATGAGTGGTACAGTCAGTAAGTGATTATGAATGTCACTGTCATGTTGTTACAGCATTTGGAAGAGATCGTCTTGAATGTGATGTAGGACCAGGGGCCTGAGTAGGACATGCTAGAGGTTAGGGCATTACTGTTAAATTAGAGGAGGGGAGGGAAATTTAGTGACTGTTGCCACAGTGTAAGTTCCTTCTGTTCTTAGAGGGAATCGTATGCAAGTCAGTAGAATTATGGGATGGAGGATTTAAGTCACTTCTTCAGGGTTAAATGTTGAGAAAGATAAGGACCCTCTCCAGCAGGTGCAGGTATGTGTATATACATAACATTTTCCCTGAATTTCAAGAAGTTTAGAGCTTTCCTGAAGTCCAGCCATGTCCCCTAATCCGGAACCTTGATTTACGTGAGGTCAGTTAGGATGTTGTAAGTGACCAAGGTAGGGAGGTGGGTAAACCATGTGCTATGAAGTCAGTCACCCGGTCAGGCCAAACCCCCCCGGGGAGCATGGAATCTGTGGGAGTGTGGTAGGGGGTGAGAGGGATGACCGTGAATCCTTTTTGGCAGTTCTATCTGAATTTTCTCTCTTGGGTTTTGCTCATTTTGTAGAAGGAAAAATACTTGTCTTTCAACTCTGTGTCCCCCTTCATTCTCCATGCACTCTTCCTTTTCACAAGTAAATGTTCTGACAGAATACATTCCTTCTTCCGTTCATCCTTTTACTTTCTTTACTTTTACTTCCACCACACAGGAGCCACCCTCACCAGCCTTGCTAGTGACAGTCTCATGGGCAAACTGAGAGTCACTTTTCAGTATTTCTCTTCCTTTATTTTCCTGCTGGGTTTGATACAGTTGACTCCTCCCACCTTACGAAATTCCAGCCTTGGCCCCACTTGGCAGCACCCTCTTGCCCTTTCCTTTCTCTCTGGCTGTGGCTTCTCTCCTTCCTCTTTGGAGCCTCTTCCTTTACCTGAACTGTACGTGCTAGGTTCAGATGTGGCCGTATTCTCCTGGATCCTGCACTCTCATAGGGTGGCCTCTGTTTCTGGACCTGAGCTTCAGCTGCCACCTACGTAGAAACAAATACCACCTCTACATTTTTTCTCAGTTTTAGCCAAAATCTGTCTCTCAAGCTCTGTATCCAGATATCACCATGCTTATCAGAGGTTTCACACTAGATATTTTCTTGCTAATTCAGTGTATCAAAAAGTGTACTTAGGATTTTTCTCTACTCTGTGTCCCACTCCAAGTGAAAATGGTATTTCCTTATTTATTCTTTCAGTAGATATTTACTGTTTGATTACTGTGTGCCTTGCAGAATTCCCTGTTAAGGGAACCAGAGAACTGGGAGTCACTCTACATTTCACCTTCTTCCTGATCCCTTATCTCTACATATCTCAAAGTCAACATAGTATCCTTAATATCTCTCCTATCTACCCCCTCCTTCCTAGTCTTGCCATTCATCTTTCTTTCAAGTATATTTTGAACATTTACTGTTTAGAAAGCATGGTGAATAAAATCTACCTCTGTCCTGTTCCTGTGGAATTTATATTCAAGTGTGGAAGCATAATAATTATTTTATTTAAATTGCAATAAATGGAATGAAAGAGAGGAACAGTGTGTTAAAGCTCATAAAAAAGAAAATTCAACCAGAGGTGGGTTAAGGAAAGATTTTATTTAGAAAAGGATATTTAAGCTGATCTTTTAAAGAGGAAAAATGAAAATATCACGTATAAGAACTAACATTTGAATAGTGTTTGCTCGGGGCACCTGAGTAACTCAGTGGATTAAGCATCCAACTTTGGCTCAGGTCATGATCTCACAGTTTGTGGGTTTGAGCCCCCTGTAGGGCTCTGTGCTGACAGCTCAGAGCCTACAGCCTGCTTCGGATTCTGTGTCTCCCTCTCTCTATGCCCCTCCCCTGCTCACACTCTGTCTCTCAAAAATAAATAATAAATAGTGTTTGCTATATGCAAGGTACTGTCCTAAGAAACGTCACATATATGAATTACGTTAGTCTTATGACCCTGTGAGGTAGGTTTTGTTGTTATTGCCATTTTACAGAAGGGAAATCTGAAAGGTTATATAATTTGGGCCAAGATCACACAGCTAGTAGGTAATAGAGCTGTGACTTAAATCCACGTAGTCTGATTCCAGAATCTGTTTTCTCAACTTCTATATTGCTTCTTAGTGTGGACTCTTTTGAGGATCAGAGTTGGGAGGAGAGTGTTGAGGCAAAGGGGACACTATATGTGAATGTTTGAGTGCTTAGAGGGCTGGTATGAGAGGAAAGCCTTGTAGTCCAGTCCAGACTTGGTTCCTTATTCTTAGATCTGTGGAAAGCCATGGAGATTTGGACTTAGGCATTCTTTATTTCTTTCCTGGATTACTGTAGAAGCAATGGAGGGTATGGTGTTTTATTCTTCTATTCTAAGGTGCTATTTACAGTAAGATACTGTCAAATTAAAGATTGCTTTCTAGGGGCGCCTGGGTGGCGCAGTCGGTTAAGTGTCCGACTTCAGCCAGGTCACGATCTCGCGGTCCGTGAGTTCGAGCCCCGCGTCAGGCTCTGGGCTGATGGCTCGGAGCCTGGAGCCTGTCTGCGATTCTGTGTCTCCCTCTCTCTCAGCCCCTCCCCCGTTCATGCTCTGTCTCTCTCTGTCCCAAAAATAAAAATAAAAAACGTTGAAGATTGCTTTCTAGGAGAAAACTATAATAAAATTACATTTACTTTTGTTTTCAGACCAAAATTTGTTTGTAAGCCAGAAATAGCAAATATCTATCTAAATAACTATGTAAGACTTCATCAGCTACATGTGATGTTAGCATATGAAATATCCAAAGAGTCTGAAAAATTATACTGGGCAGTCTATAGTTTTCCTCGGTATTCTGCAGTTATGAAAGAAATGAGAGTGATACAACACTTCCCATAACTAGTTCTTGTGATCTTAGTTTTCCTTCTGTATCTCTCCTAGAGTTTTAATATATTGATATTAAATATATTGATAGTTTTAATATATTGATAATATAATTTATACTGAGCAGTTTGCATCTGAAGCAGAACTAGTATGAGTAGAAATAGTATGCAAAATGATATCTTTTAGGGGCCATGGAAGGGAGAATGGATAGTAAAAAAATCTAAGGAGTTATTAAAATGAGTTTTCTTAATCCATTTTTTCTATTCTTTTTACCTTGCTCATAATTGTTGGTAGATTTTGTTTACACTTCATGAAGGAAATTGGATTAATAATCCTATTTCCCACTTGAATAATACTATTTTCCTGTCCTCTGTATACTTACATTAGAGAACACTAGTGACTTTTTGAAAACACAGAAATAACATTATTTCAAAAAATATATTTAACCATATGACCCAGCAATTCCACTCCTAGGTATATGCCCAAGAAAATTGAAAACAGATAAACAGAAACTTGCACATTAATGTTTGTAGCAGTATTATAATAGCCCGAAAGTGTAAACAACCCAAATGTTTATCATTTGATGAATGGATAAACAAAATGTGGTATAGCCATACAATGGAATATTTAGCCATAAAAGGTAATGAAGTACAGATACATGTTACAACATAAATGAGTCTTGGAAATACTATGCTTAAGTGAAAGAAGTGACACGCAAAAGGCCACTTATTTATGATTCCATTTATATGGAATATCCAGAGTAGATTTACCATAGAGACAGCAGCTTAGTGGTTGACAGAGGCTAGGGGTAAGGGAATGGGGAGTGATTGCTAATGGGTACAGGCTTTCTTTTTGAAGTGATAAAAATATTCTAGAATTAGATAGTGGTGATGGTTGTACAACTTTGTGAATATGCTAATAACCACTGAATTATACACTTTAAAAGAGTAAATGTGAGTTTTATTCTTATCTTTATCTCAGTTTTGAAAAAAGTATTCATGTGGGGAGCAAAACAAAAGTAACTGAGAATCTGTAAAGCAGTGTTAAGGGTTGCCATAATATACATTCATTCCAGTTAAGGCCAAATAAGAAGGGAAATCTCCAGGTAGTCATTTCTTTCTTAACATTAGGGTATAAACTAAAAAAGGACATGGTACTTCCAAAACATAAGCAATGTAGACATGAGAACAAGACCTGTTTTAAATGAGAAGCTTTGGTTGTTGGTATGGCTTTTACCTGGTTGTAACTAGAAATATCCGTATGTTCTTGGTAGCTCGACATTTAGCTATACACAGCTGAATTAACAGATGCCTGAAATCAACAATGAGAAATAGCATGCATATTTTTTTTAATGGATAAAATACCTACTTTGATCCAGCTCCAACTTCTCTGTCTATTCCTGCCCATAGAATAGCACACTTGTCAGCTCTGGGGTCAGCCTTGGACAGAAAAAGGAGTTATAGTGGCAAATGTTGGCAGTACCTGCCTTGTTTATACAATATACAGTATACATAGAATCTCAGCCAGCAGCAGAGAAAATTTAAGTCTATAGAGTTGTAACCTGTAACACCAGATTAATGTAATCTGGTGCCTTAAGCGTACATACAGTTCATATAACTCATTGCCTTTTTTGTTGTTGTTAATTTCATACTTCCCAAACTACCGCATTATCATCAATTGGCTTTCAGAGTAGATCTGTCAACAGGGAGAAAGTGTGCTGACCATAGAAACCTAAAGTATAATCATAGCTATTACGGTTATTTCTCATGACTTGACAAATCCTATAGATCCATCTTCAGTGTGCACATTTTCCAGATTTCAGAGCTGCTGAATTCTGAAGACCATTGGGCATGAACCAGTGGACCATTGGGCATGAACCAGTGTAACAAATGCTACCTTGGTAAACCTGTTAGAAGGCAGCCTTTGACCATCACAGCTGGCATCTCTCTACTCCAGTGATGTATGGCAGCCAAACATAGAATGGGCCTTTCTGCCTAAGAATTTTCCTTGGCATTTTGAATCTTTTAAGCTGCCTGTTGATTAATGGTGAAAAACACAAGTTTTTTAAAGGATAAACCGATGCTGTAGGTAAACCTTGAGGTAATTCAAGGCTTGGAAACAGATTTGTGTATTAATAAATTCTGAACCTAACTAAAAAAGGCAGTACCCTTCTAACACTGTAGGACTCTGGTCATTATGCTGCCTTCCCCTTATCACTCAGCTTTGTGGTTTACTCGGTCATCTATTGATTTTATGTGTCACAGGTGGTAGTATATTCTTTACTGAATGAGGTTATAATTACATAATGTATTTAGATTCTACTGAGATAGCCCTCTTATGAGAATCAATCCTTTTTTTAAAATCCTGGTTATTATGTCATCTGGATATGTACTTTTAAAAAGAGTCCACTGATCATTGTTATTTAAAATGATCTTTTTCTGGGGCGCCTGGGTGGCGCAGTCGGTTAAGCGTCCGACTTCAGCCAGGTCACGATCTCGCGGTCCGTGAGTTCGAGCCCCGCGTCAGGCTCTGGGCTGATGGCTCGGAGCCTGGAGCCTGTTTCCGATTCTGTGTCTCCCTCTCTCTCTGCCCCTCCCCCGTTCATGCTCTGTCTCTCTCTGTCCCAAAAATAAATAAAAACGTTGAAAAAAAATTAAAAAAAAAATAAAATGATCTTTTTCTGTTTTCTTAATTGAATTGATCTGATTTTTTTCTGAAGTAAAACTCAAAATTTTTTTTTCTGAAGTTACACCTTCTACTCCAGGAAATATGAGAGGAATATATTCCATAGAGTCAAATCCCAAGACATAAGTTGATGTGGTTTTTTTGTTGTTTTTCTCCATCAGGGTTGCCCGTTTGTCCTGAGCTGGTGAGGGAGCACATCCCTAAAACCAAGGATGTGGGACACTTTTTATCTGTCACTGGGACAGTGATTCGAACAAGTGTGGTGAAGATCCTGGAGTTTGAGCGGGATTACATGTGTAACAAATGCAAGCATGTATTTGTGGTCAAGGCTGACTTTGAGCTGTACTATACCTTCTGCCGGCCGTCCTCCTGTCCCAGCTCGGAAAGCTGTGATTCTTCAAAATTCACTTGCCTCTCAGGCTTATCTTCATCTCCAACCAAGTGTAGAGATTATCAGGAAATCAAAATTCAAGAGCAGGTAAATGATCAAAGAAATGAGAGAAATCACAACTTTGAAGAAGGTTTTTTTTTTTTTCAGCAGTGGTCAAATTACCAAGAGTGGGGAACACATGAAGGATTACAAATGGGATTTGTGTCATCACACAGTATGGTTGCACATGTACCAGGATATAGTCTTTAGAGACCATGCAGTAATCATCTCTGTATAGAGAGCATTGGCATATGGCACCCAAACATAAGAATGGCCCTTTCTGCCTAAGAATTTTCTTTGGTATTTTGTAGCTTTTAAGCTGCCTGTTGATTAATGGTGAAAACATAAGTTTTTTAAAGGGTAAAACGATGTTGTAGGTAAACCTTGAGGTAATTCAAGGCTTGGAAACAGATTTGTGTGTTAATAAATTCTGAACCTAACTAACAAAGGCAGTAGCCTTCTAACACTGTAGGACTCTGGTCATTATGCTGCCTTCCCTTTATCACTCAGCTTTGTGGTTTACTCGGTCATCTTTGATTTTATGTGTCGCAGGTGGTAGTATATTTAACATAATTAATAATTATGTTAAAATTAAGGGAATATTTAAGAAGTTCAAACTAGTTGTATTTAAGGGATAGGAGAAAAATTAAATGGTTTTAAGTGGTTGTTAAACATTGGAGTATTCAGGATTTGAGGTTTAGGCCCAATTTTATTTGCTGTGTCAAATGAAGTATATATACATAGACACTCTTTAATATGGGACAGTGTGCCAGGTTTTCCTTGCCGCTGAAACACAAAGGTATATTCAGTGTCAAGGATTCAAACTCCTGTCTTTCTATATACCATTCTTAACATGTGACCTCTATTAGGGTTCTCTATAATCTAAGATGGTAGTTACAACTCTTTCACCACTGTATACTAGTCAGACAGCAGGAAAAGGGAGGGACGGGCAACAGCACCAGCCAAGTCTCCATTCAAGTAGACCTCTTTGAAGTCTAAGGCATGTCTACTCATTTCGTTGGCCAGAGCTTAGCCATATGACCATATTCCATGTGCAGGGGAGCCTAGGAAATAGTCTTTTTACTGGGTACATGTCCATGTGAAATAAAACCAGGGTTCTGTCACTAAGGAATGATCAAAGGAACAGAGTGATTTGCCCAGGTCTTAGGACTAAAGGTCAGGAAAGAACTGCATGTCTTTTGTAGGTAAATAACTTTGGTATTATGTTTAATAGGTGGAGCATGTATTTATTTTGAGCATTCACAAGGTAGATTATATTTGGAGATATTTTCCATATTGGTGTTTTTATTTTACTCTAGTGAGTTTATAAACAGATAGTAGGTACAGTTTTCAAGAAAACTTTATAAATCCCCATCACAATTAAATTGTATGATAATACCAGGGAAATAGAAACAGTAATTCAAGAACTGCTAGGCTTCTGAATACTTAGCATGTATTTAAGCATACTTAGTATGTGTCTCCTTTTCCTTGCTAGGTTCAAAGGCTATCTGTTGGAAGTATTCCACGATCTATGAAGGTTATCCTGGAAGATGACCTAGTAGACAGTTGTAAATCTGGTAAGAATTTTTGCTGGCTTTTTAAGAGGTCCTAAAATATTGACTAGGAAAAAGCCATTTTTTATTTCCACCTGAACACTGCGAAGTTCAGTGTGGAGGCTTAATTGCTCACCTTGAGAACAGAAACTGGCATGGAGGTGGGAGGTGATACACAGCAGGAAAAAAGCTATAGCTTAGTCCAGTCCAGCCACTGTTTTATAAATGAAGAATCTGACTTGCCCAAGGTCACATGGAGAGTTAAGTGGCAGAACTAGAACATGAACCCAGATCCACTGACTTTTCGTCCAGGAGTCTCTTCAGCACATCCTTGCTTAACAGTAGCAAATTGTAGTGGCTTTAGTGGATCAGACAGTATGACTCTGTCAGATACTACTGTACTCTTACTGGTATCTAGAAGAAAGGAGGTGATTGTTCCTCTCTCCTCTGTGCTGGTGACACCACAGTAGGAGTCACATTGATTTTATCCTCTGAGGGTTCTCGGTGTTTCCGTTGGCCACTTGCCCAAATTGAGAAAGAATTTGAAACCATGCTGAAAGAACTGTGTGTGTTTAGCATGAAGAAGCCTTAGGAAGAACATGACAGCTCACTTTTCGTTAATTGGAAAGCTGTCATACAGAAATAGAATTATAGTTAGAGGAGATTACTATTGAGTTTGAGCAGTCTGAAGCTCCAGGAAGGTAGATTTTATCAGACGATGGTTTCTTTTCTCAGCGACAGTCAAGCAGAGGGTGTACAACATCTGTTAGTGACTTAGGCCTCATGATGGCCATTGATCTGGATGATCTGAAGTGTTCCAGGCAAATCAAAGACAACCTCAGAGCTATTCTGGAAATTGGAGGACTTCACAGGGGTTGTTGCGATGTCATTCTTGGTTATATTTTGATCTTGAGGCTAACCAGATAGCTCCTAAGCTCTTTTTTGCCCCATCTGAAATCATCTTGCCCCTCTTATTCTGCTCAATGGGGAGCCTGGGAAGAATCAAACTTAAACATATTAGTGGGAGGGCAAGGATTAATAGTGGCCCACATGTGTAGAATGGAAGTGTTCTACATTAAAATTTAAAATTACTGTATTTACAAAAAAAATGGTAGGGAAGAGTTTTATTGGAAAAATTAAGATGTTAGGAGGTTTTGTAAGTCAGTATTGCTCAAGAGAGTAAATATTATTTTCTTTAGTAACCACATTTAAGTATCATGAGATGTTCTTAATAAAATTTGATATGTTTTTTTAAACAAATGTATTATTCTACATATGTAATGCAAAAAGAAAGAAGGAGAATAAAGGGGATTGTTTTCAGCTGTTAGTAGGGGCTAGGGCTGTAAAATTTACATGGCCCTGTCAGCTAAAGGTAGAGATCTCAGAAGCAGACTGCATTCAAATGTGTAATCTAACAGTTTTAATCAAAACCTTTTACTCTAACCGAAGTAACTGACGTTTTCCGTATTTTGGCACCAATATCCTTATCTATCCTATTCCCTCACTGTCTCTTCTTCCCAGAACTGACAGGCACTAAAAACTCTAGTATACAGTTTAAAAGTCTTTTGGACTTACAGAAAGGTTGTCCTAGTCAGGTTCTCTGAGGCTTCTCCTTCCAGCCCTAGAAAAGGCAGGTGGCAATCTGTCTCCCTAAAAGTCAGCAGCTCTGCTCCCTACACACATTCCTAGGCCTTGACCAGACTTTTGCCTGTGAGAACAACACAAGATTATTCTTTCTCTTTCCTCTTCTTATTCCAAATAACTTAAAAACTGTTGCTTTTACTGTTTGCCTAGCGATTTCCACTTGCTATTTAACATTTAAGTTACATTGAAAGTGGGCCAAAAAATGGAAATGGTTGGTAAACCTTAGCCTGGTGTCAAAAATTGTTTCTTGATTCACCTCAACATTCCCTGCTTTAAGTATTTCCTGTTCTCACTCATACCTTAATCTTACTCACCCTTAATCTCAATAGAAAACATATAACACAAGTGTATCCCCTGGACAGAAACAAGTATATCTGACCTCTTATTCCACATCCTTGTTCTCCCCTACCAGACAGATCAAAAGTGCTTCATTTCTGCAAATTCCACCATTTCTCTTTTTCTTTAACCCTAAATATCTCCAGATGCTTCATGTATAAAATATTTACTGAACTGCCATTTCATTAAAATTATAAGGCAAACACTATGGAAATAGAAGAGTTCAGTATCTAGAGTCAAGAATATGTCTTTATTGGGGCACCTGGGTGGCCCAGTCGGTTAAGTGTCTGACTCTTGATTTCGGCTCAGGTCATGATCTCACAGTTTTTAAGTCCCGTGTCAGGCTCCATACCTACAATGCAGAGGAGACTGTTTGGGATATTCTCTCTCCCTCTCTCTCCACGCCCCACCCCAAAATAAATAAATAAATACTTTAAAAACCCTCTTTAAAAAAAAATAAGATGTTTTCATGCAGTTCATCTAAACTGAATTCTTTCTGCCCTGAAAAAACCTGAAGCTATTTTTCTTTCACATGTCACTAACAATAATGGATGGAAGCAGTCGGTCAGCAGCTCTTTTTTCATTTATCCATAGCTACAAATCTCTGTGGGAATGAAAAGATATATGGCATAATCCTTGCCCTTGAGGAATATACAGTCTGGTTGGGAACCCCAGATTGACACATGCAGAGTAATAAAGTTGGAGTTTGTGTCCTGAGAACTGCCAGTGCAGTGGGAGGTCAGACATGGGTCTGGTTGGGGGTGGCTGCAGTGGGAAATAAGCTGCAGAAGACAGCGGCACAAAGAGCTGGGATTATAGAAAGTAAGAGCTTGAGCCTCCTGACAATAACACTGTTTGTAATTTTTATTGTGGGAAAACTTAAGTATAATAACAAGGTTTCGTATAATAATAGCTAATATTTGCCAGTTGAGCACTTCCTGTATTCTAGATATTGTATGAAGTAATTTATAAACGTTATCTAACTTAATTTTCACTGTTGTTCTGAGATATAAATGTAACTATTCTCATTTTTCTAGGTCAAAATATAGGCTCAGCAAAGTTAGGTAATTTGCCCAAGGACGTAGCCAGTGAGTGGTGGAGCTGGGATTTGAATCCAAATTGGGCAAAATCAGTGCTCTTGGCCGTTCTTCAGTATTCCACATTTTCCACATTGTCACTGCTTAGTGAAATCAGGTTACTTATGGGTGCGGTATCTAAAAGCTAAGTTCCTTGTTTGACTAATTTAGGAACAACCTAAGGATAATCTATTAAAATGACCACAGTAAAGGACTGTTCCAAGTGCTCATACAAAGTTGCCCCAGTCATTTTCATCTAAAAATTGAGGGCAGACAGTAAATGATCATTTCTTGACTGGGTTTGAAAAACATCCAAGCCGTGGTTTAGGAAGGCTCTGGAAAACGTGTTTTCACCATTTATTATGAAGTTGCCTTTGGCTAGAAATATGCTCTCTATTCTGTAATTGCTGCTACCAGTTCCATGCATTTAGCATTTACAGAACATTTTTCTTCAGAAAATCAAAAGCTCTGCAGATTACACATTACACATTGAAATTTAGAGAGTAAAAGGCATTTTGCATGAGCAAATACCGTATATTTGACACAGGCTTAGATATGAAGACTTGCCAGTTAGTTCAGAGACACTATTTGTTGAGCAAGTTTTAAATACCACCAGATTGGTTTGGGGTATGTCCAACATCTTATATTCAACAAGATTTTGAGGACTAGGATTATCTTCTATTCTTCTGGTCCCCTTTTCTCCAGTACCAGAATACTGAATTCCAACCATTCATTCATGTATACCTGTTAATTGATGCATTGAATTGTATGTAATAATCCAGATGTCAGTGTTTGGAGAATGTGCCTATAAACTACCCAAGGCCTCTTAGGAATATCTGTAAAAGTTTAATATTCTTCTCACCAGGAATGGGAGAGTTTCCTCAGGTGGGAAGGAACCAACCAAGAAGGAATAAGCAGGGTTGTATCTTGTGTTTTCATAGTTTAGGGAAAAGGGCTTTGAAGTGTAACAGTAATATCCTCATTTCTTAGTTCGTTCCTCTTTTTTTTTTTTAAGTCAGTAAGTAAAATATTAATTAATATGGTAAGTAAAAATTAGTATCTAGGAAATTAAAGCTAGTGTCAGTTATCACAAGATTGTCTCCTTTCCTGACACCAGATTGATGATAGTTTCACCTTTTAGCTGCAGTTCCCACCTGTTCTTTAAATGAGAACTATATGGTTAGGGATTCTGAGAAGATGAACATTTTGCCCAATATAATGATGAATAAATCATCCAGTAAACTGTTTTCCCAGTGAAGGGTAATAATTTGGTGTGATTATTATGTAGCAGATTCACAAAAAGAAAAATGCTCACTTTAGCTTTTAGCCGTGCAGATACAAGTGCCTGTAAAAAAAAAAAAAAAAAAAAAAAAAAAAAAAAAAAAAAGAAAGAAAAGAAAAGAAAGAAAAAAGTACGAAATCTGTGGTGTTCTTTTGGCTTCAAATTGTTTTCTGGATGAGTGTTTACCACTCTAAACTTGGTAGGAAAGTGGTTTCTTTCTTTCTCTTTTTAAAAAATTTTTATTTATATTGAGAGAGAGTGGGGGAAAAGAGAACATCCTAAGCAGGCTTTATGCTCAGCAGGGGCTCAATACAGTGCTAGAACTCGGGACTGTGAGATTGTGACCTAAGCCAAAATCAGAAGTTGGTTGGACACTTAACCAACTGAGAGTGGTTAACCCAAGAGTGGTTTATTTCTTATCTCTGGTTGTCATGTAAGTCTGTGCCCAGCAAGCAGTGTGGTACTACTGGACTTTGCTGCTACGTGGTGCTCTTTCCTAGGCGATGACCTCACTATTTATGGAGTCGTAATGCAACGGTGGAAGCCCTTCCAGCAAGATGTACGCTGTGAAGTGGAGATAGTCCTGAAAGCCAATTATGTCCAAGTAAATAATGAGCAGTCTACAGGGATCATCATGGATGAGGAGGTCCAAAAGGAATTTGAAGATTTTTGGGAATCCTATAAGAGTGATCCCTTTGCAGGTTTGTGATTAAGGGTATAAAGCTGATAATTATTAATGGCATTTCATTCAGTAGTTAAATATAAAGTCTGTGGTCAGGAGGCAGCCTTACATGCTGCATAACTCAATGGCTGAATTCAAAGGGTAGTAGCATTCGTCAGTACTTCTAGCTATAATTTCCCTTTGAGCTCTTTTCTCGTGTAGTCTTTTCTATTTAGAGATCTTCCTGGAAAATCAAGGCTGAGTTAATTACAAGAAATTTTCTGTTTCTATTCTTTTAGACATCTCTTATACTGCCAGTTTTCTCCCTTTTTCACCAAATACACAGTTCCTCCGTAAGTAGGCAAAACTCACTTTATTATGAACCCTCATCCTAATAAAGCCTTATTTCTTTTCTGATGTACCTTAGATAATTAAGACAACTTCATGCTATTTTAGCTGAAGATTTTTAAATATGCATTAAGTAGAAAGAGATGATGAGAGATAGAAAGATGCAAAAATAAGCTTTGTCATCACTGTAAACACTTATGACTGTGACGTTAAAATATAATTACATAGACTAAAACATCACACAAGCCTTTGGGTTCATAGAGTATTTTTTATTTAAAAATTCCAAAAGTATAAAACACCAATTAAACCTTCAAATGTCTGTTTGCATTCTTCCTTGGAGGCATCTTCTGAGAAAAATAAACTGAAGCCAGTGATAGACTATTTCTAATAAACTTCACCTCAAATCTCATACATATTGATTACTTTATTCTTAAGTCACATACTGGACAGATACCATTTCACAAAATAGAATTCTTATTTGCCTAACTTTAGGCAGTTTGCTTTTGTTTTGTGGGATGATTTTTTTTTTTTGCTTCTGCATATAGCATGTAATGTAGTGGCTCCTGATCATTCTTTTACCAGATCTGTACAGAAAGAACTTAAATTCTCCACATTGTGGCTTTAGGAAGCAAGCCCTGTAAGAAGTATTTTTAAATGAATTTTTTTAATTTGAAATGGTTTCTTAGGATCAGGTCCTTAAAAAAATCCGTAACTCTTTCTTGGACCACAGTCATTTCTTATTAATCGCAGTGCCACAGCTCAGCTCTTCCTGTAAAGGTGAAGGAAGGGCATCATACAGCGCTCTATAACCAGACCATGAGAAGTGATTTGTGCTGGTGATTAAAAAGAGTCTATTTTAATCAGAAGGTTATGGATATACAATTTATTTACTAGATAAGAGGAAGAAGTAAATATAATGACCTTGTGAGAAACGGAAGACAGAAAATGAGGCAACATTTTTTTTTAGTCTGAATGGATTCTGCTTAGTTTCCTAAGTACCAGTACACTGTATTTTACCATTTCAAAGTGTATGTGTGCTAGTTGAGGGCATGAAGAGAGGGAAGTGTATCCAGAAGGGTGTCTTCATGTTGCTAGTCTAAAGCCAAAGATTCCCTCGGAGGTGGATCTGCTTCATTAAGACCTCATACTGTGGGTATGGTCTAGGAGGAGCTGAAGGCTTTATTCTAGTCTATAGTAACTTCAGGGATCCTCAGAGCCTGGTGCTTAGATGCTGGGTAGAAACCAAGATATAGGGATTGGGGTCTCTGGGGCCCAAGCTGAGGTGACTCCGTTATCTTAGATCTGAGAGGTTCTCTTCATCAGGGTAATGGAGAGCCATGCCACAAGAGTGGGGTAATTGGCTGTAGACACACTATTAACATGGTCTAGAACCAGAAATTTGGGAGGGAGATAGGTTTGTGGGTAGTATTCACTGTAATCAATTTTCTTCCATGATTCAGCCATGGGAGCAACTATTGCCATGATTCAAGGAACTTCAGACAACAAATTTAAGGGAATCGTTCTTTCCCTTTATTTTTCTCTGGTACTTCAGACCTGCCTTTATAGTATACCTTTTGTGTTAACTACATTGTGAGGAAATCTTGAGATCAGAAATAAGCACAAATAATACAGGTAATATAATAGTTTAACAGTTAAGTGTGTCAGGCGTTGTTTGTTCTATGTGCTATACACTTGCTGATTCCTTTGATCCTCAACACTTCTATGAGATACCATTATCATCTCCATTTTACAGATAAGGAATAGAAGCAGAGAGGCTAAGAAACTTGCCCAGGTCAGATGGGTAGTAAGTAATAGCACTGGGATGTGAATCCAGGCATTTGACCCCAGAGCCTGTGCTCCTCACCACTGGGATAGGTTTTGCATCAGCACATCAATCACCGAATCCACATTTATTCAGAAGTGGCACTTTAGGTTTTGGTGTATGAGTCTCCCAGGTCAGTTTGCCTGCTCTGAAACCTACCTGTTGGGGCTATTCCTTCTTTCTTTGTATGTGTAATCTCTAGATTCTGGTCAGAATTTACCTATATGCTATAAGGTCTTGTTTGCTTAGATCTCAAACCTTTCTTCATCTTTTTTCTCTGGGTTTTCTATACCTCAGGAAAGGGAGGAATTCCCTCTAGCAGCTAATGAGCCCCCTTCCAGGATTTACTAATTCTGTTTTCTGATCCCCATTTTACTAAAAGGTTTTCTTTCTTCACCATTCCTGCCATCCCAGGTCATATCACCCTACCTCAATTGCCACTGGATCAATTTTGATATGTTACAAAAAGCAGCCTTTGTGTATAGGGCCATAAATTGTGGAGGAAGCCTTTCCTCTCCCTTCATGCTTTGGCAGAAAAGCTTCTGGAACTGGAATAATCAGCTAAAGGAGTACTTACACAACTATTTTCCTCATCAGAAGACCTACCTCTGAAACATGAGTACAAACATGGAAATCCTGAAGCATACATATTAGTTTCCAGCCTGTAGACATACAGCGTACCATCACGGTAGTGAATTCCACACAAGACAAGCTGAGGACAAGCTTGTTAGGATGTCATAGGTTCTGAGAGCCCCTGCTGGCTGATTATGCCAGTCATCAAATAACATACCTACTTTACTTATAGGTGGGATAGGCAGATTCTCAGATTTGGTGTTTTGACATTTCTCAAAACAGAAACTCAAACGTGATATTCTTTTATTTAAAGCACATGATCAGGAGAATCCAAGACTTCCGGCTTGAATTGCTAGAATTATAGTTTATAATGATCTTTTAAATACTCTGATACCCTTATTCTAGGTAAAACAGACTTTACCAAACTTTTCAGAGTAAATGCTGAATTGACTTCTAGGGTGGATTGATTTTACTTCTCTTACACCTCTGCAGAAGCTCCATGAGCCCCAGGTACTTCTTGTATTTAAAGATTACTGGCTCCTACAATCTGACTTCTTGTTTGAGTTCAAGTACCTTCATTTTATTTAGGCAGTGGAGTAGTTTTACTCAAATTACTACACAGAAAGTGTAGTCGTATTTTAAAGGGATAATGTTGGCTTAATAAGGGAGTAAAGGAGATTCCTTTCTGTCCCTTGCAAAGTATGATAAATTCATGGAAACTTAAGCTATGAAAATAAAAAGCAAGGAATGAAAAGCAGACTTTTCATATCATGGCATTAGTAAAAGAAGGCATTTTACAACCAAGTCAAAGTTATTCACTCCTTTTAGGCATTTGGAAATGGTCCTCATGGATCATTTTAGATGGCAGAGTATGTTCATAGGAAGTTGGAAGGGAAATTTCAGATGGGGTTTCTTGAAAACTGTTGGTAATATCTGATCTTGCTGCCTTTCCTAGGAAGGAATGAAATATTGGCCAGCTTGTGCCCTCAAGTTTTTGGGATGTATCTAGTGAAGCTTGCTGTGGCCATGGTGCTGGCTGGTGGGATTCAAAGGACTGATGCTACAGGAACACGGGTCAGAGGTTAGTACCTACTTAAAACGGAGAAATATTAATACATACAAGGTGAGAAGCTAGAACTTTTCTTTGAATAAAAATTGCTTGTTGAGCTTTATTTTCTAACCATAATCTTTCAACCCTAATGACAGTCAGTTGTCTGACCATCTAATACTTCATCGCCAGTATCTGTATATCAAAAGGTAATTTCTAGAATTCCAAAGACTAAAAGAAATCTTTTAAGTTTTTTTGATGAATATATATTTTTGCTCTAACCTGTAAGGGTGCCACAAAATAAAATCTTTACATTTTGATTACTATGTTTTCATTGGATCCCCAGTCTTTCTTCAAGAGGAAAAGATTAGAAATAATGCTTTTTAATATCTCCAAGTCAGTGTCTCTCCATCTGTGACTGTCAGTGTGTTTCTCTCAGACTGCTGCTTTCAATCATCTGCCTGCTGGTTCCCCTTCTGCCGGTAGGTAGCAAATGTGCAGTCTGCCCTGAGGTGCTGCTGGAGGTCACACGTTCAAGCAAAGATTACTCTAAGTATATAATTATGTTCAAATGGCAAAAAGCTCTTTTGCAGCTAACACATTTAACTGACCTGAATCTGGCATAGAGTAGGTATGTTATGGCCCTCACATAGGCCACATGAGAGTCATAATAACCAAAGACTAAAAGGACATTGTTCATATATAAGGCCATTAATAAGAATTCTAAAACCACATGGTACAATATAGGATAGTATAATAACGTGTGTATGTATTCTATGTTTTGATCACCTACTATTTGCAAGGCACTCTGCTAAATGTGGAGCTTAAATAGGGAGTTTCCTATTAATATATTTAGGAAATACTTGAATATTTCTGAATAAATTTTTTTGATCACTGAGACAGTACATACCACAGGGTAGTCACATATTCATTTATGTTACATTTGAAAATAAGTTACTTTGAGATATTAAAATTTTCATTAAATGAAAACATCTTCACTTAACTGTTGTACTCTTAAGTGATACTTATAAAGCACTTATAAAGTCTTGAACACTTAAAAATACTTAAATAAAAATGGAATAAAATACCTGTATGGCTTGTATGGAAAGATTTAATCGAGTAGTTTGTTATTTAAAAATAGATTAAATAAAATCAACTTTAGAAGCCAAAAATGTCTTAAATGTCAAACATACGCCTAAACATCTGGAAATAGCACAAAGTCTATTAATTTAGATATTAAATGTCACATTCAGAAATCACTTAAAGATTGTTATTTTATGATAGTTAACCTAATTTTTAAGGATATCTAGTTAAATCCTTCCTTAAGTGACCTTAAGTATACAGCAAAAACATAAAATACAAATCACGATGGCATTCCAAGTGGACCATTTTCCTTTTGATTAATTATACTTATTCATGGGTCCTTTCATAGAAATTTAAAACTTTATTAACTTTTTTCTAGGTGAATCTCATCTTTTATTGGTTGGGGATCCTGGCACAGGGAAATCTCAATTCCTCAAGTATGCAGCAAAGATTACACCGAGATCTGTGCTCACAACAGGGATTGGATCTACTAGTGCAGGTATTTTACTTGACAATTTCAATTAGTTTAACCTTATTACAGATGCTAACACAGTGGGTTTTTTCTTATGAAAAAGTACCTTAAGTAGGATAAATTTCAAGCTAATTCTTGAGTTACTGCCCAAAATGGAAATATGTAGCAGTACTTTTGTAGCTCTGAGAAGATATTTTAAAACTCCATCTTCACTTAAAGTTATTTTCCTAAAATTCATCCCATATACCTTTTTGCATCTGAGTTTTGAAAGATCCTATTTGATTGGGGGGAAAAAGAACACAACGTTGAGATAAATGGGAGAAATCTCACTTTACAAAAGTAGATCAGTGGCATAGAGCTTGAGGCATTTTTGTGCTCTTAGATCTCATGGGCAACAGTAGATCCTACTGAAAATTCTTAGGTAGGAAATTTGTCTTAATATGTGGAAACCATACTTTCATCATTACAACATGGAGCTTCACTCATGTTATAATGATTCTTCAACAAGTACATACAAAAGTTTTTTCAGATAGAATGTCAAGATTTGATTATAAAGTAACTTTAGGAAAAAATTTTTTAAAATGTTTTGATGCCATTTTGTATTTTATACTGTTTTGATTTAGGAAATAGCTCTCCTGTCCTTCTGTTATAGGCTCTTGGTTTCACACATTTTACAATATTATTTGCTACCTGTTAAGGGAAGCCTAATGTCCATGGTCTGTGCTGAAATTTCTTAGGAGAAATTATACTATAAAACTTATCATAAAGCAGCAAAAGCTGTTTTAATGGTCCTACATAATGAGAGCCCCATTCTAAGGGGCTCTCAGATTTTGAAATATAACTGATTAGTACATTAAGCATTGATGAGAAGGGATCTGTAAATTGAGAGGCGTAAACAAGGTGCAGCATACTGGAAAGGGTAGTAAGCAAGAATATATAAAGAACACTTTATGTGCATTTAAAACTTCCTATGACCCGGTGTTCTAGAATCCTGTATAAAATGATATCAATAACAAACAAATAAAAGTGTTTGCCAAGTAATTATGTGGAATGTTTCCTAAGTTAATTGTATAGAATACCAAGAAATGAGTCCAAGCTATCTGCTAGGCTACTAGTAATTTCAGAATATTTGGACAGTTTTCAAGTGAATGGCTGCTGATTCACACTACACTAGCACTTTTCCCTCTTTTATTATTATTATTTTTAATATTTGTTTATTTTTGAGAGGGAGAGAGAGAGCACGCAAGTGAAAGGGGGAGGGGCAGAGAGACAGGGAGACACAGAATCCGAAGCAGGCTCCAGGCTCTGAGCTGTCAGCACAGAGCCCGAAGCGGGGCTTGAACTCAGGAACCCATGAGATCACGAACTGAGCCTAAGTCAGCCGCTTGACCGACTGAGCCACCCAGGCACCCCTCCCTCTTTTTTAAAATGTAAAGATCATAATCCAAATATGACAGAAGAGACAGGTATAGGGAATATGAATTTTAGAACTATAGGAAAGTTATTGCTACTTCTCATCTACTCAAAGGGCCCGATTAGCCTTTCTTCAAACTGTGTATTGCAACCACTTAGAGTCATAAATGCCAAGTTCAGTGAGTCAAAACCAGCACTTTAAAAAATGAAATACAATAAAAGGTACCAGAATATATTGCACACATAAAGATGCACTATAAGGGTGCACTGTCATGAAAATTACTATAAAAACTTGCATTACAGGGTCATACTTTGTTTTTTAACTATGGATTACAGTGAAAAGTTTTGAAAACTGCTGCCATAGACTTTCTTGGTAAAACCAGAAACCCAAATCTTAAACCAGAGGATAAGACCACATGGAAGTTTATAGAAGGTTATAAATGAACAAATGCATGCATGCTCCTCAGATTTCCTGAATGTTTTCTCAGCTCAAATGATATCCTCACTCCCTCCAATCTATTTGCCTCTCTCTTCTGTGGTATAGGTAATTTGTTCCTGTGTATATTCTCATGACAGAGCTATTTACTGTGATCAAAAAGGAAACTGTTCCAAACATTTTAGGTATAATTCAGATAGTGTCTATAAATGAGGCTAAACAGGGGGAAAATAAAACCCACATGCTATAGCTTCTTAGCTCCTAATGTTTGCATTCTAAGTATTACAGAATCATAAAAATTTTAAGTAAGAGATCATAGTTTTTAAGTCTTAACCTTCTGTGAAAATTAGCTGTTTACAAATTGATGTAAAAACCTAACCCTTGGTGTCAATACAAAATCAATCATTATAATTAGAATAAAAACTCAGCAGCAAATTGCTTCATTTGGTTATTTGGCTTATATATGCTTTATTTCTAACAAGCACATATCTTTTTCCTGTTATATTAATCACTGAGCTCTTTGTTGGAAATTTTTACTTTTATTTTCATTTTAATTATTTTAACATATTCTTAAATTTAATTGCAATTAGACAAAAATGAAATTTTCTTCATATAGTTTTAACAGTTGGATGTATTTTAAGTCTATGAACTAGTTAGTGGACAGTATTTTAATCACCTGGTATATTAAATTTCAAAATTTAACATTTAGCAAAATTTTGCTTCACAAATTCACTTTTTTAGAATGACAGGAAATATATACAACTTAGAATCCATATTCAGACAAATGCCCTTTTCCCTTCCTCAAAATAAAAGCTTTAAAAAGTGCAGTATAAAAGTTTTAGATATGAAGGCACTGCATAACTCTGCATCATATGGCTAATGTCTTGCTTAGCAGCAAGAGTAATGAGAATATTCTACACTTAATTTAATGGAGCATAAGAAACTTTGAGGAAGGACCTAGCTTTCATCAAAGAAAAAGAACCCTTTGGCCCACTTAATGGATTCCTTTCCAAGATTGCTTTTAAAAAAACTTAACTGGAAAGGCTATCTAGAATATGTCAACCACAAATATGCCTTATCTTATTCTTCATGAGTGTCCAGGGATATGGAGAAGAGTACCACATGTGTGAAAATATATATATTTCCAAAATAGTGACTTATCTCTTACGATAAAGCTAAATACACCTTCCCAAATACACTGTTTTTATATAAATGCTGCCAACAACAGATGATCTATCAAATCAGTTTTGAAAATTTCACAGCATTTCTATAAATCTAATGAAAACATCTAAGTCATTATAATATCCTGTTCTTAAACTTAGGGAGTTTGTATCTGCTCTTGACATGTTGAATTCAATGGGTAATAATGATGCATCATTCAAGGAATATTCTGATGTCCTAAACTGTTAGAAAACAAAAACCAGAGCCAGAGGACCTTATAAACAATTAACCACATTTGTTGTCATCTTAGAAACCAAACTGAATGCTATCTAACATTCCATGTAATAGCAGCCATAAGAGGCTTCAAGGTGGCCTGGAAAATCAGGTCCTGAAGTTCTTGGCAGCATATACTTGACTTCAAATCCCTTCTTTAAGGATATGACAAAAAAAAAAAAAAAAAAAAAAAAAAAAAAAAAAAAAAAAAAAAAAGGAAATTTGCCCCTTACATTAAACCAAACTATCACAGGAAGAAACATTTTACTTGAAGTTTGTTCTCTTGAAGGCCAGTAAAATAGTGGTCCAAAGATTATTGTCCAAAAGGCTAAGAAAGCTTTACAGCCTGGTCTAATGATTTATATTTTTTCTTTATAAGTGCTTTAATTACATATAGAGGAGGAGAAAATAATATATGTTTTAATCAGATTAGTTTCAGAACAAATAAAATAACACATTAGAGAAAAAAATTACTTAAAAATAGTTGTATTTATATTCCACAATTTGCTCAAATACTGGTTTTCTTATAAACTTTCTACAGGATGTTTTTTAAACAAATTCTTCACATTGTGTCTTGACTATGTACTTACGGAATTTCAGGGAAATAGTTCTGTATGTTTTTATAGCTTAATTTGTACTAAAGGGATGGCAGATGGTCACATGCAGTCCATGTGGGATTCTAACATGACATTTAGTGAGTTTTCTGACGTGGACCATCCCTTTGATGCTGAAGGTAATGCATCTGTTGAAAGAAGTGATTGTAGATTTGGATTACTGCTCTCTGCATCTTCCAGTTTTTCTGTGTTGTCTTCCCAATTAATGTGGAATCTTGTAACTCTGGGATTAGATGCCAAAATGTTCCTTTGAAGCTGAAGGAAGAAGGAAATATATAAATAGTAAACACTAAGAAAGTTAGATACTACATACAAATAGAAACTTAATACAATGATTCTTTACCTTAGTACTCCTAAAGGGCCAAATTCATATACAAAGGCTAATTAAGTAAAGCACCTTAACATAACACACAAGGACCAGGGCTACAGCAGACATTATTATTTTAGCTTAATGGAAACAGGATATGGAGAATCTGAGAGAATTCATCCAGATCTCTTAGTAACCAATAAAATATCTAACCCCTTTATACTTGTTTCCTAAAAGGGAGAGAATCTCTTCTTTTTCTTGCAGGTGAATTCTTCATAGAACGCTTTATCTCACAAACTAGTATGTTTTGTAGATTGATGTGGTATCTTCAGTAATATTTTCAAAGAAAAAAATTTCTTCAAATATAATATCTCATTATTAGTGGTTTCCTACCTTTTAATTATTATGGTTCACTCTCAGAACCAGTATTCTAGTTTTTTCTCTTTTTGCTATACAAGGTGCCATATAAGTAACTAATACATGGAGTCAATGGAAGGTCCCATACCAGGATTAAGCATTCTGGCCTTATTACCAGAAAAAAACATTCCACTTTACTCCCATGTAATTTTTCTTGCATGATCCAGCAGATGGGGTGTTGTGTTCAATCTCACATAAATGATCAGTTACTAAAACTGTTACAGTTCCCAAGAAAAATCATGAAATACTAAGTATTTCAGAGAATCTGTATTTCTGAATCACGGGTTTCAGATTCTCACTCAGAAGCCATTTTCCATAACCAGAAATATTTAAGACCTTTAGGTTAACCTCTAAGAATAGCAGATAAAGGAAAACCTACATATGCGTGTGTGTGTGTGTGTGTGTGTGTGTGTGTTCCAATTTTTGGAAGAGTTACAGACCAAGAATATCATTGAATAATCATGAATTTCTATGTCGTAAAGGCTGAAATGAAAAGAATTATGATGTGTGGGAAATGCCATGCAGAAGCTGTAAACAACTGTTTCTTACAGGAGGATTTTTTCAATTTTCTAAATCATCAGAGACTCTCAAGGTGCCTGACCAACATTAATTACTCATGATTCACTTGGAGGTAGGGTCTGAGGTCAAGTATGGGTAATGGAACAATTAGTTTGCCCAGTTAGCACAAAGACCTCAAATTTATTTTGTCTCAAAGGTATTTTCATAATATAGTATGAATTGGCACTTGCTTAATAGTAAAAGTAATGAAAGAGGAATAGTCAGAACATTACCTTAGAAAAGTCTGGTTTTACTGGCGGATTTTCCCTTAATTCTGTCTCAGTATATTCATTATTTACATAATAGCCAACTCTAATAAATTCTTGACCCCGATAGGTGCATGTAATTAGCACAACTGTTACACCTACTGCATCTGCATCTGGAATGAGTCCTGGATTAGGTGCATCAGCCTAGAATAATTTAAATAGAAAAGAAACACACATCACAAAGAGGCAAACAAGACTGGAGTTTTAGTTACCTTGAGCATCGTGAATTAAGGGTACAGCAACAAAAACTTGGGGGCATCATACTGGGAAGGCAAATGTTCATTTTTAAGATTGACTTAAACCCAGAAAATATAGTTCAAATATTTCTCCATGGTATACGTAATTACTCTGGGTACCTGAAAGCTTCACTACTTCTATAGGAAGATAAATCTAGCTACACTGTGTGGTAGTTCCTGAGGGATTGTGCAATATTCAATTATAAAACCTTTTATAAAATATAGCAAATAATTAAATCAGTAGTCTCATTGACTCTACCCTTTTCCAGTCATAATTTTCTTTTTGTTTTTGAGAGTGAGCACAAGTGGGGGAGGGGCAGAGGAAGCGAGCATCTTCAGCAGGCTTCATGCCCAGTACAGAGCCTGGTGCAGGGCTCAATCCCATGACCGTGACATCGTGGTCTGAGCTGAAATCAAGAGTCAGATGCTTAACCAACTGAGCCACCCAGACACCCCTCCAGTCATAATCTTCAAACCTAAATTAGTAAATATTCAATGATCTCCACATAGCCTGTTGGCAGCAAATGTTTATTATACCAGTTTCTCTCTTATACCCAGGACACACAGCCACTCTCCCACCTGTCACAGATATTCTAATAGTAAATTAATATCAAATTGAAAATGGAATAGAAATAGCTATTCAGCACAGTCTCAAAAATATTAAACTACTGTGAGTGACTTTGATAGGCACTAAAATATAGTGTACTATTTAAACCACGCACACTGGAAATACAATGAAGGTAAAAATTGGTTTGAGCAGACATACTCAATGACCTTGTTTTAAATCCTGCTGCTGAATCTTGAGTGCAGAAGGTGAAGCAAGTGAGCTAGAGGAGGTGGACAGCATGAGCAAAGGCTAGGGCCCTGTGGCGCTACGTACGGCTGGAAGGAGTCACAGACTGATGGGCACTGACACAGACCTGAGGCAGCCATTCTGAATGGTAAATGGATAAAGATTGTCCCAGCAGATTAGCTTACTCTTGCCAGGACACTAACGAACATCCCTGAGCCTGGTGAACACTTCAGCCATGGCCTTGGCTTGGGAAAACCCCTGTCCGGCATTCTCAATCAGGCTGTTTGAATTATCAAAGACCAATGATTATTGTATAGTTATCACATGTAGATGACACAAAAAAGCATAAAATATCTATCTAGTCTAAAACATCTATCTAGGCTGAAAAGTTCAGTCACCTTCTGCTTCCCTACCTCCCACATCCAGCCAGTCTAACACTTCTCATCTCTCGAGTCTCAGTTCGTGTCTTCATGTCTTCTCTGGAATCCTGTTGCAACTTTCTAACTGTTCTCCCCTAGCTCGCTTGCTATTTTGCACTGTTGCCAGCATTAGCTAGGCAAAGATCCATTCCTATCCCTTCACTAATTTTAAAAACTCCTGATGATTACTCCCATTTCTGAGAAAAAAATCCCTTCTTTAACTTCATTTATAAGGCCCTTCACACTTTGTTTCCAACCAACAGCTCATTCACATTCCCTTTATTTCCACACCTCTTACTCTTGTTCTAGAATTAGAATTCTTTTAAATGTACCGGTAATCTTTCATGCCTCTGTGCTTTGCATATACTGTTACCTTGGCCTGTAAGTCTCTTCCCTAACATCCTAAAAAATTCATCTAAGTTTGCATAAAATGTATCCTTTAGTGAAGCCCTTCCTAATTCAGAAGGTAGAATCAATAGTACTGTTTTTGTACTTTATTACTTGACACAAATCCTCTTTAATGTATGTCCAATAATTTAAATGTGTTTATCTTTCAGTTGTTGCTGGGATTCTAAGCTTTGTCCTGGGCAGAAATCCTGTCCAGTTCATCTTTATAATTCCATGTCTGGCACAGCTCTGGGTGCACAGTATATGATTAGTATTTTGAAATTCATGCATAACTCAATGCCTGACCTAAAGTAATTTATGATCATCTTAGAGAGATATCAGCAGGGGTATGAAGGCCTGTCCTGAGAATATGCTGTTTGTCTTACAGATCCTGTGTACCCCTACTGAGAGGGGTTAGGTTACTTCCAGGGTACCCAAAGAGCTTCTAATGTTCTGGAAGTTCGTGGAGAATGGGGAAACAGAGGTAGTTTAGTACTGCTATGGAAACTTTCCTCCCATAGTGCTTCCCATCCCCTCAGTAGATTGGTTCTAGCCATGTTTGTGTTTTAAAATTTGATTGCCAAAGAATTCAACTTGAGCAAATCCAAATTCCAGTAGAAAAACTCACAGTCCTCTCAGATCACTTAAGATGAAATAACAGAGGGGCGCCTTGGTGGCTCAGTTGAGAATCGGACTTCAGCTCAGGTCATGATCTCAGGGTTCCTGAGTTTAAGCCCTGCACCAGGCTCTCTGCTGTCAGCACGGAGCCCGCTTCGGATCCTTTGTTCCCCTCTCTCTCTGCACTTCCCCTGCTCATGCTCTCTCTCTCTCTCTCTCAAAAATAAATAAACAGTAAGAAAAAAAAGATGAAGTGATAGGTAGAGATTTTTAACGTCAACCAGCAGTAGTACACAGATGTCTGGACATCTTCCTGCCAGCCTTTGACACACTCATAAGAAAGGCATGTTTATTCATGGCAGACCAGGGGAATACTATGGTAATTTGTTTAAAACACAAAACAAAAACTGTAGGTTAGTCCCTTTTTTGCTGATAATGGTGAATTTTTTTTAAATACACAGGGTGACAGTCTGATTTAAATTGCATGGTGCTCTTTCTCTGTCCTTTTTGGCAATATGAACACTGATACCAAGGTAAAACTACTGGAAAATCACTGGAGGGAAATATCTTTGAATATATTTTTCACTCCAGCCAAAAGCTTAACAGTGTTCTTAACAACATAAACACACAGAAAAGATCATTTAAGGGTTTGTTTCAAAGCCAAAAGATTTATTTGCAGGTTTTATAGTAGCATAAAAAGGTCTACCAGTACAAATCAATCCAGGTTTCTTAACCACATCATGAATTATCATCAGTGAATTATGGGTTTTCCAAGCTTATGGGTCAAAGCAAATACTTCTTTGTGTAATAATTTCAAGAACTTAAGACACAAGTGTGTTACAAGCAATGGGGCAGGATGTGAAGCAGTCTATCAACTGCAGTGCCTCCCCCTACCCATGTCTTTCACCAAGGTTATGCACTCACATGACTCAGGTCAACAGCACTTTTAATGAATAGATATGAACTAATATATTTGAGCTTTTCTTAACCATTTGTTTAGATATAGTAAATTATTTGTTGCTTTTTAATAAAAAGCACTAAGGCTAGGAGACTATAATTCTGATTCTGTATTTAGGAGAAGAGAAGGATAGGTAGCAACTCTACAGATACCATGTTTATGATACATGATTCATGGCCCATATCAGATGGGATTATCTGACCAATGCTATTCATTTAAATTGAAAATGAAAAAAAAAAGGGGGGGGACATCAGGGGTAGAAAGAGTTAATGTCCTTCTGGATGAGGTCTTTTCACTGGGTTCTACATTAACTGATGGGACTCTGCTGTGTACAAATACCTGTAAGAAAATTAATAGTTTTCTTTTTGAAACCTATGAGTAGTTACTCTTTGGGCTATTATAAATATCTCCCTGTAATAAGCATGGATAATTGGGAAATGACTGAATAGTTTTAAACAACAATTTAACATACATTAAAAGAAGTAACACTTTGAATACAGAAGACAGTGTCTGAAGCCTTGGTACAGACCCAAATACTGTCAGTGGTATCTGAGAACATAATTTGTTTTGGAATTTCCCCTCACAAATAATAAACACAGTAGTAGATTTGTAACAGTAATTCTCCATAAAATGTGTAGATTAGATGCTTTAGTAAAACACTGGACTTTAATTCCAATGATCCAAGATTATGCAGATCTCTCTAGTAGCATACCTAACTAACCTCGCTCAATCATGCAGTGTGCTGAAATAAAGTTGTTTCTATGGTCAGTACTCCTAGTGGCTGAAACCAGAAACCAAGATGCATATTACTAACTATACCAGTTAGTAGTATGCATTCAACCCCTGTACTGGCTGCTGGACAGCCACAGGTCTGATACTATTGGACTATCCACAGGAAGAGCCCCGAGTTAACCACAACGTGTGCCATGACACAGTATAAGCTTTACTGCATGCTGTGCACACTCTGGAGTAAACATCACATTAACCTCTCAGCACACAAAATCAAGAGGTGGCATTCCTTTATGCTACAGAGGCTGCCTAAAACACAATAGAAGCAGATAAAAAGTGAGTGCAGCAGAAGTAGAGTGATTTAACCCAAAAGGAAACGAGTGAGGACCATGAGATAGATAGTTTAGAAACGTATTTGGCATACATATTTACCAAGAACAATCTTACCTGAAATACAAACATATGCCTTCCTGCAGGAACAGGGCCCACTAAAACAGAGTCTAAAACTTGATCGTATTCTTCACTTTCTGCAGAGCCCACATAGATAATTTTCCATTCCAAGTCTAGGGTTAAAAACCAAAACATGATTTCATATTCAGTAATTACATTATGAGATGATATCAAAGACCCTATTTTAATGTCCACTTAAGCCAATTATTGGTTGCTGAAATTGACTTCTCACAGCAGAAAGTCCAAAAAGGCACTGAACTGCTCCTTATAAAATTCTTACATTTCTTAACAGAGTTTCTCAAAATGTTCTTTTGTGAAACACTAGTTCCTGGGCAGGGCTCCTCATAAACAAACCAACATGGCCAAAAACTTGGGAAATGCTACAACCTTGTCTTAAGGATTCATAAATAAAGCACACTGGCAGAGTGTTCGGGAACTTCCTTCGGTCAAGAACACGAGTAACGTTAATTCAGCATTTCCCAAGTTTATTTGGCTATGGAATCCCTCCCCACTTTTTTTTCGTATGTTATCTCTTAACAACCTACTTAAACACTTTGGAAGGGCTGCCCCATACTATATTGCACAGATCCAAATCACCAAAGAACTCCAACATGGAAAAATTATTAACAAACTTCCCTTGTGGCTTAGAAGGGGCTTCAGCTCATCAACTGTCAAAGGGACCACAGTCAGGGTTTTTCCTCATGGTCCCTCTTCATGTCATATATTCTTTAAATTGGGAAGAGGAAACCAAGGATCCTTGTGCCACTTTATACAACAGACTATATACAGTGGGAACAAGCATCAGGAGGAATAAGACACGCTTAAGTGCAACCCAAGACATTTTCTGTAATTCAAACTGTTACATGTAATTCAGCTTTTATTGAGCACCTTCTACAGTGTGCTCTGCAGCAAGAACCCAGAGATGAGTAAAATGACTGCTTTTTCAAAGGAGCCTCCTGCTTAGTAGGGGGAAGACAGCTCTGCAAATACAGATTACCCGAGCCCTCCTGGTCCTGAGGGTGTATAGCACAGTGCAGCCCACCCTTGGATTCACTACGCTGCGACTACAGCACCCCCAGAGGGGTGTTTCTAGGTCACTGAGAATCTAGTTCTACTAAGTCAGCACTTTCTGAGGACCTATTATGTAAGTCATGGCTCTCTTCTAGACCACTTACATTTCTGTCTTCTAGCACATTTCCAGATGCAGGGTCCTGCATCTGACATCTCACGAGATCATCTATTTGTTGATAAAGATTAAAAGAGGAAAGAAGCAATATGAGTATCTAGTTAGAAGGAACAGCAAGTATCTGCTGAAGAAGCAACGAGGCTGGGCTGGTGCAGACTGAATAAAGGGGAAAATAACTGACCCTTAGCTTGGGTGTGAGGGGCATGGCCAGATTATGTAAAGTTTTTGGTTTTGTTTTTTATTTTTGAGAGACAGAGTGTGAGCAGGGGAGGGGCAGAGAGAAAGAGAGGGTGATGAAGAATCTGAAGCAGGCTCCAGGCTTTGAGCTGTCAGCAGAGCCCAACGCAGGGCTCAAACCCATGAGCCGTGAGATCACGATGTGAGCCGAAGTCTGACTCTTAACCAACTAAGCCACCCAGGTGCCCCAGATTATGCAAAGTTTTAAAGGTCATCGTAAAGATTTTTGGCTTTTACACTGAGTGGCACAGGAAGCTATTGGGAGGGTTCTGACTACAGGAATAACATGATCCACTTTTCATTTTAGAAGGATCATTTTGGCTCCTGTGTTCAGTATGGATTGTGAGATTGTGAGGGTCAAGAAACAGGGTATTTTAACAACTGAGGCAATAAATTATGGTAGCTTGGACCACATGTAGCCATAGGGATGAGAGCAAGGACACTCTGGATAAATCTTGAGGATAAAGGCAGCAAGAATCCTTTTTTTGCAGGGGGTAGGGGATGAAATCAAACAGGAATTTGTTTTGGACATGTTAAATTTGAGATATCTACTAGATAGATATCTAATAAAATTACAAAATTAGTGGCTAGTGACATAGGAAACCTAAAAGCCAAGTGGAGAAACTTTTAAGAAAGTGGTATAAAAGCTATTAAACTTAGCCAAGTGCGAGTAAGACTGGGAACTCTCACACGAAGGTTTTCATATTTTGTTCATTTTGTATGTATTTATTTGTACTAATACATATAGTGCTCTTGGCCTCCTAATTGGTAGAAAGTAAGTTGGCATTTGTAGTCTGGCATGGAAACATAGTCAGAATTTATAAACTTATTTTGTAAAATACCTACTATGTGCTGAGCATTGGTCTTGCCAATTTCACACCTGTTATTTAAATCTCAACAGCTTTATCATATGGATTTAATTATACTATTATGCAAACAAGAAAGTTGAGGCCCTGAGAGGCTAAGTAATGTACCCAAATTCACACAGCTAGCAAACTCAGGAATCAGAACCTACGCTATGTCTCTGCAACTCCAAAGCCTGGGCTCTTTCCAAAACCGAAACTAGGAAGATGCATTCTTCCATTTCTGCTCTCAAATGAATAGTGGAATAAAGGAAATTAATTGGGGGGGGGGGAGATGGGGAGATGGGTGAGACCAGAGGCTATAGGAAGATGATCTACCCTTAAGGAGCACAGGCTGTAACTCAGGGAACACCTGTACCTTAATTTCTATCTGATGGAATCCTTGCTATAGCTACTGAGTTTAAAATGCTCAGTACTTATTTATAAATTAGCATCAATTGTTTTATTCTTACTTTTTTAACTCTGCTTTCATTTTCCTGTCTCTTGTATTTGAAGGAGGAAGGGATAGAGTCAGATGCACAGGTTATCTGCTGAAGTAGTTTAATCATTTAAAAAGTTAACTGTTTCATCTAATCATGGAAATCCCGGCCTGCAAGTATCTGCATTTATGGTTGGGAGTGAGGGAAGTAACCAAGTGAATTTTAAACTAATTACACTACTTGGGACGATCTGTGATCTAGTGGAAAGTATGTAATCTTTGGGAATTAGAACAAGCCTGAAGTTTAAAAGCATGAAACACCATGTTCAATTCTGGTACATTGTAAGTATTCAACTAATAGGTAGCTAGAATTATTGGTACTGACCAACTTAAAAAAAAAAAGAAAGAAAGAAAGAAAGCTCCATTCAGTAGAGAAAGAATCAGTAGTCCACAGAGGGCATAACAAAGATTAGCAGGAAGGTCAATCAAAACGTGTACAGACTTGGGACCACCAGATCAAACACATCCTGGGTCTCCTAATCAAATTAAAGTATGAAAAATGATGGCCAACATCTGGTGTGGGACTTGAGACAAAATTATGAAGTGAAAATTTCCCTTCAGAATATTCTGTAGTTTCATTTTAAGAATAGATTTTTTAGAGATCTGCAATAGAAAAGTATGAAACCTGTAAGAAGCTTTTGCTAAGTAAACTCAGTTTCCTTAATCCACATAGCCTCTAGGTGGAGTACACAAGCATGGCACCTTTTTGAAAGATTCCTTTGCAGCTTTCAGTATGACTCAGCTTAAACTCTTTTTAAAAATGCTAAATAACCAGTCTTAGTGCTCTGGGATGAAGTGTACAAGTGGAAGTAAGCGTATTGTTGACACTAGTATCCTAAAAACTCTGATGTCCTTCAGCTGAGTTCTGATTAGGTCCCAGGTAAAAATGGAACGTAATTCTGCTTCCATGAATAGTGAGTTTCAGCCATCCAATGTCAAAGCCCTGTAACAATCATGAATCATCTATCACCCTTGTCCAAAACTGGCTCTTAAAATGGAAGGCATCACTTGAGAAATACCTGTACTTTGAATAACTTAAGCTTAAAATGCTATAGTATAAGTTGGAATGGACTGATCAATGGTTTCTCTTGCATTTGCCAATTTTTATATACAATTGGCAAAAAAAGGAAAGATTACCAACTGGTTGGATAAGAAAAATTGGCCTGGTAGTTAAATGGTGACGGTAGCACTCTGGGAAAGTAATCAAATGGTTTCAGAGTAGTAAGAAAAATCCCCCTTAATTTTATTATCAGTGATCTATTAGAAGTTAGTTTATTTTAATAAATGAATCGTCTTTCAAAATGGGACCTACATATTATATATGTGCATATATGCTTTATATATTCATTAATACTTACTGAAGAGCACAGATTAAAGTGTTATAATTACAGGAGATGGTGGAAAGCACTGAGTACAGAGGACTGTTACTTTATATACGCCTGTACAACTTTTAAAAAGTTTATTACAATGAGCATGTATTGCTTTTATAATGTGAAAACCTAACACCCTACATAAAATACATTTTGTGGATATTAAAAACTAATTTTTAAAGTGAAATTGCTTTATATGCCATTATTTGCATAATTTTAAATGCATTTCGCTAAATATACTTGTAAGTTCAAATAAGTATGTCCTGTTTAATTGTAAAATGACCATTGATGAAGCTAAATTTTTTTTTCAAATTTTGAAAAGTCAAGCACTGGATTATTTTAATAAAATTTACGAGCAAATATAAAAAAAAAAGCCTTGACAAGTTTTAGCTTCCTAAATATATGTTACTGCATATAACAAAAATATTTTTGGAGACCTTAATACGGACTTAGAAAAAAGTAGTAAAAATTTTTGCATTGCCATTAGAACTTTACCTTTTATTTCCTGGCCCACTTTTGTATTTTATGCTCAGGGTGTTTGGATGAGTTATTTTAATTACATTTCAACACGTTCTTGAAGAAAGTCTTTCAGACTACTGAGAAGCCAGTGATTTTAAGTCCTTATTTAAGTGTTTTACTTATTTTTGCTCTTGGGTTAAATGTAACTTTATAGCTTAGCAATATTTTTCTTCTGAGCGAGAGGAGAGAAGGTTTCAGTCATTACGGAACAGGAGTCCACGCCGGTCGGGGCGAGCCTGCGCGCCAGCATCCCCGGGTGCCCCAAGCATCCCGGGCGCGGGCCGGGGAGTGCCGCCGGGGAGCACCCGCGGTCCCCGGGGAGCGCCGGCGCCCGGCCCGCTGCGCCGAGGGGCCGAGCCTGTGCCCGCCTCCCCCGCTGGTTGGTCCAGGGAGCCAGAAATCAGCGCGAGGACAGCCTCGCTCTCCTCCCCGGGGCGGCCGGGCACGGCCACCCAGGAGAGTAGGGCAACTCCAGCGTAAGCTCTAAAAATGGATTTGCCTCTCGCTCGGGGGCAGGAAGGTGGGCAGGCGGGGCGCCGTGTTCGTCACCCGCGGCGCGGAGAGGAGGCGTAGTGACGCCGGGGTCGGTGGCCCAATTCTCTACTCTTGGTAAGATGGCTCCGCTGCTAACTCGCCGGCGCGACCACACACATGCCTCTCCCTTCCCAGCCTTCGTGCCGGGGCCGCGGAGGCCGTTCCCGGCGCGGGGCCAGCCCGGGGCGACCCCCGGCCGGCGCCGCGGGTGCGAGTGCGGGTCTAAGCGAACCTCCCGCCCGCCAGACAAAGCTGACAACATGGCTACCTCCGCTCGAACAAGTTCCTCGCAAGTTGAGCCACGGCAGGCGCCCCGGCTGCGGCCGAACGCCGCGCGCGCCTCGGTGGCCGTCGTCCATCAACTTCAAGTTTCCCTCCGCAGAGCCGAGCCTGCCGCCCGTCCGGCGCCGAGCACCGGCCGCCCGCGCGAGGCCGGGCCCGGGAAACTTTCAACGTCTGCAGCCCGCAACTGACAGCCCGGCGGCGGGCGGGCGCCCGACTCACCTTCAGACAGGTCCTCGATGCACTCGAAGGTGATCTCGAACTGGAACGGGTTGTAGAAAGGAGAAGGGTTATCCAGCACCACTACATTGTTCACCTGAACCTTTGCCATATTTTGAAAAAAACACAAACAATGGGAACGGGGCTTGTTGCGGCACAATAAAGTCCAGCGCGCGGCCGCTCGGGAGAGCGCAGACCCCCGCCCCAGCGCCTGCCCGACGTCGTGCAGCGGCGACTTGAGAAACTTTTTTTTCCTCTTTTTATTTACACGGGAGCACTCCACAGTGTTTTGCAGCTTTCCTATTTCACTAAACTACAGCCCATTCTGCTCTGATAACTAGCAGCGTTGCCCGCGATTGGCTGCACCCAAGCTCTGACCCTCCTCCTCCAGCGAGGGCCTCGGTGGTGAGCAAGATGGGCTCCCGCTCCCGGAATGGACTCGGAAACTTTAACTGCGGCTCCACCTGCTGGTGTGGATTAGGACAAAGGCGGAGAACAAAGTGAGTGGAATACGG